CTCAGCGCCGCGACCCCGGCATGGGGACAGTCGCGGCAGCTTCTTTCGTTGGAAAAGACCTTTAATGCCATCGAGTCCAACCGCTGTCACTGCCGAGCGCATCACTAAACCGCGTCCCTCAGCGCTGCACCTGACAACATATTCACACGAAGCAGCGCAGCAGCACCCGGCAGAAGCGCGTGCCAGCTGTAAAACACGATTCTTTCGGCAAGAAGTAACGGGGACCAGCCGAGAAATGAGACCCGATCGGCTCTGAGGCCTCCTGGCAAGGCTGACCGTGCCAGCCAGCAGGTCCCTGGCACTCTTCTTCACGCAGGGCAGCGATCTGCAGGGCTGGCTGTGGGAGGAGCTCTACCGCAAACCCCGGAAACCAACACAGGCGGTTAGATGACAAGCGATTTTATTTTGCAAAACAATCACTATACAGCAACAAATACAATTGCAAATCGGATTGAAAAACATGAACTACCTACCACCAGCCATTCAAGAAATGCCTCTTTTATGGTAACAGGCTCTAGAATTACCGAAAAAAACACAGGTTTGTAACAGCAGACTGTATTCCTTGACATCCCAGCATACAGCATGTTTATTTGTTGGCTTTTTCTCTTTGCTAAAGTTGAAGTGGCTTTTATGCACTTGACTTTTCCAAGTGTGAAACTAATTTACCTTCCTGCAGTGGGAATTGCTGGAATTGCAGAGGGAGTTGCTTTAGCAACCTGATTAGCGACTGAACTCGACACACACCTAGGCTAGAAAACTACCTGCGTCGATATCCATAGCAAACGTGATCTACTCTTCAAGGCTTTTGCCTTTGAAGGGACATTTGTACTTGGGTTGCAAACAGTATTTGGTCCAGCGTGGAAAAAACTTCTGCTCAAGTGTGGTAGTCCACACAGGCTGCCTTCTGATTCCCTCTGGGTCACACAGGCAAGCTTAAATTGGTAAGCAGTCACGATGAGGTTACCACTGTTCCTTAGCAGAGCGTTGAATGGGTCATACCACTGACTGCTGTACAGTGCAATATACACAGCCCTTGTGGGCAGACAGTTTCCCTCATCGGTGTTAGTTTTTCCTTTACTGTTGCTGGACAGAGGTTTGCTCGACTTTTGCTTGCTTTCAGCTTGTGGTTACATAGAAAGAGAACTCTGCAGATGGGACAGAAGCTCTTTTTCTTTTGTTTCTACAACTTGATGGATTATTAATTTGGGGCTCTCCCCTAGCTATCCAAACAAGGTTTCACCATTCCTTTTGTCTGGATTATCTCTGCTTTGTTACAGAGTTGGGTCTCGGGCACCCAACATACCTGCGGGCTCAACATGCCTGTGGAAAAGAAACACAACGGATGCAGTTTCCAGGAAGCTGGCTCTATCTTCTTTAGTGGGCATTATGTATTTACAAAACTGTTGTTTTTAAAACCAACACTCTTCTTGAGAAGTTAAGATTAATATGAGCTTTATCAGTGAACATCTAGAGTCATGTAACATAACTTGTTTTTTTTTAAATTTATTGAACAGCACAAAACTCTTGATTTCTTTTCATCTAACTCCACAGCGTTCTAGGATTCTTTCTATGGAAGGATGATTACGATTGCAAAGGTCTTTGCTTGAATCAAGACGTGAAAGCTCATTTTAATGCATGAAATAAATGACTCTGTGTGTTACACCACTCTAACTTTGGACTCATAGGTGGATTAACTAAGCTTCATTTTCTAGAGTATGTCAATTTTAAAAGCAGAATAAACAAACTTGAGTCTCAGGTTAACACTGTTCTCACTAGCTGGTGTTCAGCTTCAGAGAAGCTGGGGTTCAGTAGTACCACAGACTCTCCCACATTGGCAAAAGGCATAAAAAAAACCCCCAAACCAACACTGCAAGGCTAATTTATATTAATGGATACTGTGATCAGAGCAATGTGATATAAATATTGGTGTTTTTTTCTTTCCCTCTCTCTGTTGTTTTCCTGGAAAAATGGGAAGAGGCTTTTAACATACCTCACTTGACACTGTTTCTATGTGAATTCTTGGGATTATTCTAAGCAATAGTGTAAGAAAATCAAGGCAGAAATCAGCTTGGAGGAGAGAAGGCTGGGGGTTGACCTCACTGCAGTCTACACCTTTCTCAAGGAGGGCAGCAGAGGGGGAGGTGCTGGTCTCCTCTCTGGTGACCAGCAATAGGACACAAGGAAATGGAACGATGCTGCGTTGGGGGAAGCTGAGATTGGACTTTAGGAAAAGTTCTTTGCTGAGAGGGTGGCTGGTCACTGGAACAGGCACCCCAGGGAACTGGTCATGGCACCAAGCCTGTCAGAGTTCAGTGAGCATTTGGATGACGCTCTTAGTCACAATGGTTTAGTTTTAGGTAGTCCTCCAAGGAGCAGGGAGTTGACTTGATGATCCTTATGGGTCCCTTTCAACTTTGAGACATTCTATGACTCTAAGATCCTCCAGATGCATTTAGTATGTTTCTAAACTCACTGCCCTTTCTATAAAACAACCGACTTACAAACAGTATTAGGTACTTTATAGCACGAAAAAGCTTTTTGCAGAGCTGAAATGTTGTGTGTGGGCCTGTTAGGAGTTCATCTTCAGTAAAAATTTTAGAGGTGTAACCATTTTGTTCTGTCTTCGTACTGCTGTGACAGTTTAGCCAAAATCCCCCTTTGGTCCACTGAATATTTACTGCCTAGTAACTGTGCATTTACTACCTGAATTTAACGATGGGGAATCCTGTGCTATTAATTATTAGAATCCTTCTCCATAGACATAAAAATCTTCTCCCACACACACGTGCACGTAGAAATTAAGAAGGAAAAAGGACAGATCAAAAGCTTCCAACACACAATGTTAACCTAATACATGTAGTATCAAGTATAGCTCCACTGACAGTGCAAAGTTAAGAGATTTCAAAAGGAAAAGATCAATCTGCAAGAACGTAAACTGGTCATTCCATAGTGCCTACTGTACATATAGAATCAGCAGGTTACTGCCCACTGATGAGTGATACCACCACGTCACCTTCAGTGTCCCCTTGGTGCCCAGGAGACAGCGCCGGAGTTCCCACAGGTACCCCGTTAGATCGGTCGTTTCGTTATCTCTGACCTTTGTCTATTATGCACACTTTTTCTTATACTTTTTATAATCATTGTAATCCCCCGTTGCTCAGATTTTAAGATGCCCTAGTTGTTGATGGACCGCTATGGCAACCCTGTCTAGGGAGCTCGCTGTATTTATGCACGTCCTATAGCTCACAGGCATCTCTTTACCTTGATCACCATTATCTGAGTGCCGGAGTGTACACGAAACATCAGTAAAGGAGTGGAAACAACATCTTTATACTTTTATCTGCGTTTCAACTTTAGCAAAAGAAAAAAATAAATAAATCTAACATTCACTGTTACTACATGAATTTTAAAAAAAAAAGAAAAAAAAAAATAAAGGAAAAAAAGCCAGAATCACACTAGTGTGGATTTTTAAAAAAAATCCAGAATCCAAACTCTGCCATCTTTGGAGACCCTTTTACAAAAATCTGGACCCCACAAAAATCATACCTTTGTGAAGAAAGGAAGGGCAGGGGAGAGGGAAGGAATCCTTTTTCTAGCATCACAGAAGAGACTTGCATCTGGCACTAAAACAGGGTCACGGCTTTTAGTTGTTACAGAAAGCAACTTCATGCTAAAATTTTCATCTTTTTTTAAATGTATTCTTATGAATAGGGAAAAAAAAACCCTGCTAACATCTACTTTTACATACCTAAAATTGCAACACCAAAGGGTGCAAGAGACACAGATACTGTGAATAAAGAAGTAGAATATTCAAGTATATGAGGAGGGCGTATCACAAATGGCCACAGAGAAATATATATATCTATAATACTGTATCCAACAGATGGAAGGGATGTGAGACCAGTGGTGTGTACACAAATCTAGCCGCTTAACCAACCTCCTAATCAGCCACAAGTCCATTGGGGGGGAGTGCTCGCTCTCAACAGCTTTCTTACCTCACTTCCCCAGGCAACTTCAAATGTTCTCAACTACTATTTTTAGTTATTAGTTAAATAATTTATTGGCTTTTCAGCTATACACTGACATAATTAACCAGGTCCAAAAAAATGTTAATAACTTAATTCAACTTTTGTTCTACTCATTTATACAAAATAACACTTTTTTTTTTCCCATTAAACTTGAATTTCTCTATATGCCCTTCCTTCTGGTAAGCAGACTGTTATTTTAACCTGTAATAACTTACAATGGGCAACTTTCCTTTTTTTTTTATTTCCCCACCTATCAACAGAACAGTGAAACGAGCAACTTGGGATATTAACAAGGCTCTTCAGAAAGACGTGGATGGCCTTCAGGCACATGAAAGGTAAAAATGCATTTTATCATAGTACGGTACTCCATGCAAGACAGAGCAGAGCAACAATAATTGTCCAAGGTAACATACTGCAGTTGTATACCCATATAAAGCCAGTGTCTTCCTGTTGTAAATGGAGATCAGGCCAATTTCTGCATCTATTTAATTATTTTTTTTTTCAGTATTTTTTTTTCCTTTTTTTTTAACTGTATGGTAACTACAAGTCTTGGGATGCGACTTAGTTTTAGACATGGTAAAGAATGAATGTAACACCTGCTCTGAGCCCATTCCTGCCAAGAGCTCATGCCTAAACGTTATTACTTCCTAGGGCGCGAGGTGAGGAGTTCACAAGCCCTGCTTGGCAAGGGCTGCGGTGACGTCCTCCGCCAGGGTGGCCAGCTGGGGGGACTCCAGCAGGTTGATGCTCCCGGAGGAGGAGACGTTGCTGAGCCGGCGCGGGGAGGCCACGCTGGACCTGCCTGGCGACTGCGTGATGATCTCGGCCCCGTGGTCGACACGGGCCTTCGCGTGCTCTCTGAAGTTCAGCTTCTGGCTGTCAATCTGCTCCAGGGAAGGAAAGAATTCAACGCGTCATGTACGTGCCAAATCAGCTCCTAACCGATCAGCATTTGGGTCTGATTTTCTTCACTTTTAAGAACTCTCACAAGGACTGAAGCTTCTTCACTCTTTGGAATAATTGAAACTGAAGATTTTTTCGCCCTGTTTAACATACGCTGGCTTACTATGTTACATTCTCTAACTATTTCTGTCTCTGATGGATGCTTTAAAGAGCAGTACCCATCATTCCCAGCTGTATGAATTTAATAAACATTCTATGGGCATTGTGCTTTGTTTCCAAAATCTGTATTTTCAAATGTTAGTGGGAGTGATCTTACTTCCAAGATGTTTTCCTCCTGTTTAACAAAGCAGCCCCGATCATCTAGGATACCCATAGTACAGACCTATGCTGTACAAGGGTCCCAAACAAGGTTTCTCTTTAGGGGAAGCCAGTGCACAAACTACAGGATGTTTCACTTTAAGATTCACTCTCAGCTTAGGTGTGGATATGAGACTGGTCATTCCAAATTCCAAAGGGAAGAAACGACATGTGAGTGTGCTTGAAGGAGAACAAATGCTTCCTACTCAATTCAGAGCTATCTCTGAATTCACAGCCTTGTCCCTCACAGTTTCATTGGGCCAGGGACACAGTGGTAGCCTTTTCTCTGATGGCTGTCCCCTTACCTTGACGTTACCACCACCAGGTACGTGGTGGGCATTTTCCAGTGAACCAACTTTAGCCTGAGCTTTTTCTTTGAAATCCAGCTTCACGCTCTCAATTTTCACACGCCCACCTCCTGCACAGACAAAGGAAATACAGATTAAGAGGCTGGAATGGCTCAGGAGAAGGTCTGACCTGATGCACAAGGGCGTGCTCACGTGACTTTGCTTTTCATTAGAGAAGCACAGAATACCAGGCTCCATGTTCAAGTAGAATATAAATTCTTCAACACCTACTCAGACTGTGAGAACGTGCTGCAGTCCTACTGATTTTCATGGACTTAAGTATATGCTTCAGCTTTTGCTGACTTCAGTCTGCATTTCAGTATCTTATCAAACTGACATTATGCCACAGCAGCATCCTTCTGCATTATTTTATTATCTCTTCTCTAAACTAGGTGGTCCCATACCTTTGTATATTATTTAACTCTTTGTATATTTGTCTTTACATTAAGTCTTATATATTTACTTAAGAATATTACTTTTATTACCAAAGTGTATTTACTTCCCCTTGGACTGTAAAAGAGAATGGTAACATCCATCATTTCTCCTTTGCATAACAGGATTAGGTCCTTGCTTTGTCCCATATCCCATAAATTCCTACAGTACCTGGCTTGTGGTGGATGTTCTTGAGTGAGCCACACTTTGAAGTCACATGACTCAAGTCGATCTTCTTGGTTACGATTTGTACCTGTCAAGAGCACACACACATGAATTGCAGGAATGAAAGGAATAAAAAGGCAAGCCCTGCAGAGGAAGAGCCCAAGCCTCTACAAACTGCTGGAAAAGGAGAGGTGGTTAGTAGGAAACAGACCATGCCACAGAGGAGGAAACACCTGGATTAATAAAGCAAGCTTCCTTCCCACCTAGGGAGATGGCAGAGCTGGGTTAAGCTTTACTATTAGCAAAACAAAGAGAAGGACAAAGCAGATCAGCTTGTGGGTTCTTTCTAAAATGTTTCTGACCTTCCTCTCAGGGTGGGTGCTCTGAAGCCCTGCATGCAGCAGGACCCATCTTCTTTGCTTCTGCTCTTGAATGTGCACCGTGGCAATGAGGAATAATTCGGTGACTGTTCTTCTCTACCATCTGTTCCGTGTTTTTCTGCCTCTGATATGGTGTGCATTCC